CCCCCCCCCTCCCCCCCCCCCTCCCCTTTGATCATACCTTGACACGGTCTGCTGCTGCCGTCGCCGCCCCGAAAACCTCCCTTAGATCATGATCAACCACGATAACGGGCACACGGGGCAGCTGGCGTCCGTGACGACTATGCTCAACTTCGTCGGCGCGACGATCAGAATCCTCACCACAATCCAAGAGGCGAGTCTATTATATCTTGTTCGTTCGGACACATGTTTTTGCTGATGCGCATGGCGACCGGACCCTCGTAGATTCATACACCAGGTTTTGTGCTGCTGTGTGCGGAAAGGAAGGCGGTTGTCGGTGTTTCCGGTAACGCGAGAATACTGCTGTCGACTGTCGACCCCGTGGACGCGGTGTGAGAGGGGGAGGTGGGGGTGTTGCCGTTGGTTGTTGTGCAAGTGTGGAGTTTGCGCGGCGCCTTTTTTTTTTGGTGCTGTAGCTCCGCCGGGGAGATGTGATAGAAACGTTTGAGAACAGTGTTTTCCAAACACTCTTTTTCGTCAACCTACCTCCGTGCCCGCGGGTCTTCTTCTCCATCCCCCCCCCCCCCGGTGGTGTTATTTAACACTTGTGCTGTGCCCCCCAACCGCAAAGAGCTCCCAAATGTTGGTGGTGTCTCTAGTAGGGGTAGGAACGGTGCTCCGTCTCGAAAGGGACGCGTGGTCAATGGTCAAATGACTACGGCAAGCAACAAATGAGTACGCCCCCCCCCGGTGGTGTTATTTGACACTTCTGCTGTGCCCCCCAACCGCCCACTGACGAGACCCAACACCGGGCGCGAACTAAAAGATAGGATAGCTGTCGCTACAACGAACGACAGCTGATAGATGTAACTGTCGTCAGACGTGTGCGTCCACCGGCGGAAACAGAGCGCAAACACCACACACTTGATACTACACCTACCTGCTGTGCGCTGGTGAGAGAGCTGTTGTGTGGTAACGAATGCGACATTTTCACCTGCCGGTTACCTCCCCCCCCCTCCCCCCCCGTCCACATCCCA